AACCAGAGACCCTTTTTACTGGAAAAGAGGCATTTCATCTTAGTCCTCACGGGTGAAAACGCATCTGCATTTTGATTCGCAAACGAGGATACATGTAGGTTTCTATGGGCCACAGCAACCACTTACCATCAGGTGGACCGTGTGCTAGTTTGTCACCCTATCCTATAAAAAAAAACCGGAGGCGTTCTGGAGTTACATGTTTTATTATATTTATTTTAACATATTTATATATATATATATATATATACCAGCTGGTCCCGGCGCGTTTCTGCCGCAGAAGAAATAATTGTGGAATTATACCTAGTCAGGTCATAAATTCTGTCACATGTTTAATATAAAATAATTAAAACAAGTTTATTCATTATGTAACCATTTATATACCAAAATGAACTTAACAAAACATAGATTCTTATGACACTAAAGTTTATTCAAAATGACCTCCGTGCTTTTGAATACAGGCCTTCAATCTGCGCGGCCAGTCGTCTATCGCAGCACGAACGAGGTCCATGTCAATATCGGCGGCTGCCTTAATCAAGGATGTCTTGTGTGCTCTTCGCTCTATGAGCTGGCACCGAATCTTGTTGGAATACCCAGTGCCTGTTATTGAACATGGTATGAGAAACAGGTTCCAAAAGGTTCGTCAGGACTGTATTTTGATACACAACTGCATTCGTTTTTACACCTTTCTCACAAAAATGTACCTCTGTTAAGCCCCAATAAGAAACTCCCAACCATACCATGAGCGAGGATGGAAAATGACCTCGTTGGACACGCGGAATACGGTTGCTCGCTTCTTCACTACTGTGTGCGTACACCTTATCATTTTGTTTGTTGTAGCTCTCTTCTACGGTAAAAATTTTTTCATCCGAAAAAAGAATTTCCCGATATTTTTTCCCGCGTACCGCTTCAACAAAACGCGGCATCTCTTCAGTCTCAGGTCCATTAGACGAGCATTCAAACGATGTCCTGTTTTTCTTCGATATGCCCGAAGCCCTAAGTCTTCATTTAACACCCTTTTCACCGTGGTTCTGCTTAACCCCATCTGAAGGGCCAAGAGTTTATGCTTACGTTTGGGATTTCTTTGAATTCGCGCCTTCACAGCTTTTATCACTGCTGGAGTCCTAACAGACCGAGGGCGACCACTTCTTGACCTGTCATCTACACTAGAGTCTTCATTGTATCGTTTGATGGTATGATAAACGAATCTTTTGGTTATATTCAAATTTTTCAGTATGTCAAAAATTTGAATTGGCGCGTAACCGCAACGGTGCAACGCAATAACTGCAACACGGTCTTCTTTAAGCGTCCACTCCATATTTAAAAATGAGTAAAATTCTAAAAAGTATACAGTTTTATTTTCATGAACAATTCGAAATTCGAATTCAAAAAAACTTTTTTGTGGCCAGCATTCTAAAAGAAAAGTTTTTACTGTGTGACAATACTTATGACCTGACTAGGTAGTTTTAAATTTAGAAGACTTATATTGTTAAATTAGGAACGATAATACGTTTATTGAAATTTAATGATATATAATTATAACCTGTAAATACTTGACAAAGCTTTAGCGCAATCTGATGAATGGTATTGCAGAACATAAAATGCGAACAAAGAAACATTATTTTTTATATATTAAATTATAATCTACGTAGTAGAACCACGCTGTATCTAATATCTATATTATGCTTGTAGCACGAATGTGTCGATCGATTGAGCAAGGACCACGCTCTCACAGAATAACAGCGTTAATTGTCGCTTAATGCTGCTGTGTTTCGTACGGTGAGTACAGAGAACCGAAAACCCTTTTTACTGGAAACGCGGCACTCCATCTTAGTCCTCAGGGATGACAACGCATGTGCGTTGTGTCCTTGATTGTGGATAGATGTAGATGTCTATGGACCGCCGTATCCACTATGAATAACTCCGGTTTCGTTCAAGGGATATGTTTTAAAACTCGATACATGACAGCCACCAATGAGTCACTTTATCCTGAAAATATCCAGGATCATCAAACATAATTTTCTACCGACTTCAAAAAGGAGGAGGTACTCAATTCGACTGTATGTTTTTTTTGTTTGTGTGTGTTACATCTACTGTTACTTTTTTCTGGGTGAACCGATTTCGATGATTCTTTTTTATTTGAAAGCTGGTGTGTCCCATGTGGTCCCATATAAATTTGATCAAGGTTCTGACCAGTAGTTTTTGAGTTTTCCTTAAAAATTTATATTGAAGTCGGTTACACAAAATTTTTAATTTAAATTATTAAGTCTACAATTGTTTTAAAATGATGTTCTTCGTACCTAATATATTCAAAAAAAGTTTGGTTATGTGCAAGTTTAACATAAAAAGTAATTGCAGTCCCGATAATGAAGTAAGATTTCCGTGTCCGAATCAAATCATTATGTATAATGTGTGGGAGCACATTTCTCATCCTTCTCGGAAGCTCCAAACCTGGGACGCTTGAACGTACCTTATTATTTGTGTAATTTAACACGCTCATCTTTCGTGTGTGAAATTGGCACTTGCATTACTTCATGTTACTCTTGATTACGTGGGAAATATCAACACGTCTTACGCTCAGACGTAATAAAATATCAACGACTAACTGATACCCGCGACTTCGTCCGCGTTGCTTACGCACATCACTGAACACGTAATGTTTATAAAAATCGTTGTTTCTTAAAACTTTAATAACTTTACATTTAATGAAGATATCACAATATTTTTTTAGATAAGGGCCAAGTGTCTAAGAAATAAAACTTAGAAAAACTAATTTAAATCAATCCAGTACTTTTACCGTAACACGCGCAAAAATGCAAACCTCTATTATTTTATTTATATTTTTCTTAAGTTTTTTTATTTTATTTTAAAGGGGGCCGTATTACAGATTTATTTTATCTATATATATTATACTAAAAATTTAAATGTCTGCCTTTGATAATGAAATAACTGACTCCTATTAAGCTCAGGGGGTTATTTTTATGTATTAAGATATAAATAATTATTTTTAAAATGTTTGTCTGTGTGTCGGTCTGTCTGCCTGTATGTCTGTCCGGGCTAATCTTCGGAATAGCTGAAGCGATTATAATGAAACTTCACAAACAGATAGAAAGCAATGCCAGGAGTGAGCTACGCTATATTTTATAGGAGAAACTTGTTTATTAAAATAAAGATTTGTAAATTAAATGGTCTTTAGTTATCTTAAATCTACAGTCAAAGCCGGAGCAGATCGCTAATTATTAATTAAATAGGTAAGTTAACTTAAACCACTTTGCGAGGTATAAGGTTTGGTTCTTGATATTATTTGGTTAGGTTCTACTTTGAATTATTTAAGCAACGTTGCGTTCTCCGTTCGTAACAATCCGTTTTATCTACAGACTTCAACAAGTAGACGGTACTCAATTCGGCTGTATGTTTTTTTTTAATGTGTATTACCTCATAACTTTTTACTGGGTGGACCGATTTCGATGATTCTTTTTTTATTTGAAAGCTGGTGCTTCACATGTTGTCCCATATAAATTTGATCAAGGTCTGACCAATAGTTTTTGAGCCATTCTTAATAATTTATATTGAAGTCGGTTGTACAAAAATTTTAATTTTAAGTGATTACAAAGGAGTTGCGTGTAAAACCATATTACTCGTACATTCTTTTCTTTTCACGGTTAAAGATGAGAAAAAATTAAACAACTTTTAGCGGTTTTAACAACGAGGCTTTTTCATGCAATTTATGTATTGAAATAAACATTATTGATTCCCTAATACCTACTGGTCTCCGCAGCCATGATGATTTTTCTCCGAAAAAAGGTTTTCTCAATATAACAAAACTTCTTTGATATAAATAACGATTATGTAATTTGTGTTAATATCAAGCACAAATACCGGTTTCTACTCAGACAGCTTGCCGCCAAAACTTCTGTCATAACTTCAAGCGTTACGTAATGGCGCGCGTGTCCGGTGAAAGTGTTCCGACCACATTCTGGCGTGACGGAGCGACCACAAATTATAAAAATATATTCATAATACTATATATTTAAAATTCTACTTCTGCTTATATAATTTCAGAATGTGTTATGCTAGAAAATTTTATGATTTTCATGTCCCATGTTTATATAACAAGTTAAACAAAATAGGATATTAAGGAATCTTAACCAAAAACAAATAAAATATTTACTTTTATCAAGGCTGAATGAACACGGTCATGCTAGCTGCGAAAATCTATTGAATGTAAATACCAATAACATAAGAGGTGAGCTGGACATGCAGGAAGTCGATGAATGCAGATGGCTCAGGATCGTGCTATGTGGCATTCCTTGAGGGAGGCCTATGTTCGATAAAACATTTTTTTTTAACTTTTACGAGTACAATCACTTGCATGTACTAATTACACTATATCGATTATATCATATATTATTTGTCATATTACTTTATTCTATCGCGTTTGATTAATTTATTTTTAAGTTATTTTTAATTTCAACGAGGTAGAGCCATGCTGCAGCTGTATTAGTAGTATAGTTGGAGCACGAATGAGTCGGCTCGACCGGGAAAGGACCACGCTCTCACAGAATACCAGCGTAAAATAGCAGCTTAACGCTGCTGTGCTTCGTATGGTAGGTGTAGAGAACCGGAGACCCTTTTTACTGGACAAGAGGCATTCCATCTTAGTCCTCACGGGTGACAACGCATCTACATTTTGAGTATTTTATTGAGGATAGATGTAGATGTCTATGGGTCACAGTAACCACTTACCATCAGGTGGACTGTGTGCTCGTTTGTCACCCAATCCTATAAAAAAAATTCTCGACGTTTCGGGTGCTTTTGCATATATATATTTGGATAGACGCATTTTCTTTGTTTTATTATCATCCATTTGTATAATATGCTATTTTTATTAAAAACGGCTCATAAAGACCCTACATTCTTTGTGTGAGTTATATTGTGGCGAATGGTCCAAAAGAAATTAAGTTTTATATATAGAACCTTAGATATGCCTTTCTTATTTTCAGGATTTCCCGTGCCAACAGTGACAGTGCGTCTGCAGTGGCACATCAGTTGGGCGACGTGATGGCAGCGAGCCGCGACCACGACTGCGCCCGCTTCTACTGCGACCGGCACTGATTCTCCACATTCTGAAGACTTACAATATGACAGATACAATATAAATTGAAATCATTCCAGTAATCACCATGGCTCATGCTCTGCTTTGGATCGCTCTTTTCCGGAACTCATGTTATGAAATTCATAAATTCACTCCGCCTTCATCATTATCAGCACTGACTATTGTTGTGAACTTTTAGTTGAAGTGGGAAACATATTATTGTTACTAACGTTACCACCCATCCAGTTTTAATATTATCCAGCTTATTGAGACTTCTAAAGCACTTAAAAACGGATTTAGATGTAATTTCTACAACTGTTACAAAGGTTGCAGATTTTTATGGGTGACAACGCATCTGCATCTTGAGTCTTTATTGATGATAGATGTAGATGTCTATGGGTCACAGTAACCACTTACCATCAGGTGGACTGTGTGCTCGTTTGTCACCCTATCCTATAAAAAAAATTTAACATGATCTGATGCAGAGAATGGGTAGCAGATTACAGTGGAAACTCCAATGCATCATCGAGATTACAAAGTGGTGCTGTTAACAGGTGAAAGGTGAAAGGAACCGTGTCACTCTTCATTAAATCGGATGCAGAGGGATAGTATATTTCAAATTATGATGTTTTTTTTGGGGGATTTCGTTAAGTTCTTCAAGTATTTTCATATTTATGACACTAAGATAATGATTGCCAGTTGTATTAAAAAATACAATTTGGTACAATAAAAAATTATGGACTAATCAGTTGTTGACATTATCTAAGAACTGTTGGCGCTTTGCAAAATAAATATAAGATATCTTTATTAAATGAAAAAAGATTTTTGTTGTAGCGTAAGCAATATTTGCTATTTTTTAATACAGATTTGATTATTTCATTATTTATTCAAATTATGTAGAAAATAGAACGACCAAAATATTAAATGGTAGGTGAATAAGATAGGACGTAATAATTTGAATACATTAGATATTTTCCTTAAGACGGAATGCGGGCCGAGAGACTTTCGAAAATTAGATATTTGAAGAAACTATCGCTGTCGCTCTGCGAGCACTCGGCGTACGATAAGGACAGCCTAAGTAAAACGGCATAATTCGAGATTTGGCTCTCTGCCATTTCCTCCTGCAATGTTGGACCATTTTTAGAAGAGGTTCATATTTATTTTTCTGTAAAAACTCATGACTTTATATAACGTCATAAACCACAAAGGAAACAGACGAGAGCTAGCGAGACGTATGGAGAAAATACCATCCGCATTTCCTAAGCGAGAGCGTTTGTATGGAGAAAATACCACCCGCATTTCCTCTTACAAGTACAAACTACGTTGGTTACCTGTAGTGTGGCATTCATAAATAAAGTAAAAAAAACTAACAATTTTTTATCTCCAAAAGTTTTTATTTCAAAATTTGAGACTACTGGCAGAAAGCATAGTTTAATCGCCATTGAAATAGATGATGTATGTATAAATCTGACAGTTCCCACTTCCCAATGACAGCTAGGGCGGGAATTGTGTTGAACGTATTTTAATTTGTTTTTTGATGAATAAAATATGTATTTTATAATTTTATATAGTAATTTTAATATTAATTTAGTTACGGAAAAAGTTAGGACCGTTTGTAAATTTATTCCTGTTCTTAGTATTAATTAAACAGAAAATTTTATGTATATTATATCTACTTTTCATTTATTATTCTTATTATAAACATTATAATATCAAATATATTTTTAACATTAATCATTGTTCAAAATAATTGGTTATTGTTTAAAATCATACACTAAACTAATTTAAAATTGAATTAAGAAGTAAATTACTAAATTAAGAAGAATATTTGTAACTTAATATCTATTTATTTAAATTATTTTAGAGCGCTTGTAAGTTGTAAATACGCTTATGAAAATGTAAATTATTTATTTATTTTTATAATTAAACCTTTAATTGAATAAATTGGTTTTATTAAAATTACAAGAGAACCTAAAAGTTCACTATACGCGTAAGATAGAGTGCCGTCCTATTTTTTTGGAGGATCTTAGAGTTTGAGTTCGAGAATTGAGTTTTTCTCTCAAGAAATTCTAAGAAGATGGCGGTGGTGTCTCGGAAAGGATGTTGCGCCGTTGATCCTGTGCCTGATCTGTCTCCAGTAGTGTCGAATTACCGTCACAGCGGACTATGAGAGTGTGGGAATAGAGAGTGCACCTGTGCTTGCGCATACACTTGGGCAATATAATCTTGTTCTGCGCCGATGGCTAGTCTCCGTTGAAAACTCGGCGACCGTAACCGAAATTCGGTCCGGCGGACATTATTGCATATTTAATTTATGTGTTAATGTAGGATAGTAAAGGTAACAACCAACATACACGTAAGTCTCGCTGCTAGGCATAGGTCTTCTCATCATTGGTCCTGCAATATGGAATAATTTTTCCCGCCGGGCTGCTTCAATATACGAGTCTACTAGAATCAAAAACAGCAATGTCCATCATATATAAAATTAATTTTATCTATGGTTGCTGATTCAATAGACAAAATGACATGCGTTACAATATTAATTTTGAATCAAAAACCGCTTATTCCTGTAGAAATCCCCATGTAATATGCTATGCCCCTGCTATTTGCAAATATTAAGTTTATTGCCAGTGAATTGTAGCTACCCGCAATAATAAAATGATGTATTGTTGCAACTTTGCAATAGCGGACATTGCTGTTTTTGATTCTAGTAGACTCATATGTTGGCGGACTTCATATTTCCTCGGAATATTCTATTTCTCAGACATCCAGCTTTCCTCATGATGTTTTCCTTCACCGCCGAGCATATATCAGCACTGATTCATACTAAACTACTACAATTTTATTGACGCCGTTAAGTATCGAATAAGGTTTACTAACTTACCATTAAATTTACTGCGGTTTTTGTCCAGTGTGTCTCGTGTGTGTCATTTTAGAACTGTGTTGTGTTTAACAAAAACTAATACATTTTGTAATTAATAAACAATTGTAAAACTTTGTACACTTTCTTACAAGTGGCGCCCAAAAAGGGGCCTTATTTATAACGTGGTTACGTATATAATTTAAAATATGAGGTCGAGTTATATGAAGGCTTAATGTTAATCTATCAAACGACCACCACGTCAAAATTTTCGAACCTGAGAAATATGCCCATTTTTCGACCCGTTTACGCGTAGATAATAATGATTATTATACTTGTCAATTTTATAAGAGTATAATAACAAAAATAAAACATTTTTATAACAAAAATATAACCTTTAATTCCTGAAAGTATTCAATATTACATTTAGCAATGTATTTCAAACAAATTTATATTATCTTTATTCATAAAATTGATCAAAATTCAAAATTTTAGCAATTTAGTAACTATCGAAATGCAAACATCTAATTCATATAGATAATAAAACTTTAATAGTACACTGTGCTAGTGTTGTTCGTGCGCTGCGTCGCCAGCGCCATCTGCAATATGCACTTCAGGATTTTCTAGTCCTAGAGCTGCCGGCTTAAAATCCGGCACGTTACACTCCTCACACGGTTGCAACTCTTCCTCCATCAGGTATAACTGATGACAGAATTTGTATCTACATTGTTTACATGTTATACGTGAACCACTACTAACATTTTAATTTAATATTACAGGAAATGACTAACGAAATATTTTAATAGTACCATAATAATAAAATATGTTTCTGGGGTGTAGTTGCCACTCACCATCAGGTGGATTTAACAGTCCACGATTAGCTAACACCAATTCGTCTTTTACTTTTTTTCAAGACACGAGCACAAAGGTAACCTTTTTTTCAGGATAAGGGTGACAAACGAGCACACAGTCCCTCTGATAGTAAGTGCATTCCATCTCAGTCCTCAGGGTGACAACGCTACTGCATTTTGATTCTTAATTGAGAATAAACGTTGTTTTCGATGAACCACAACAACCACATACCATCAGTTGGACTATGTGCTCGTTTATCACCCTTATTCTTTAGAAAATAACAAATTAAGTAAGTGTCTGACATCACTTTAACACAATTAAGTATGTACTGTATGCGTGTGACTGAAAATATACTCTTAACAGCAGTTACCGTCTGAAAATCAGTGGCGAGCATAATGCCCAGCGAATACTGAGCCTGTTCCCCGTTGCCCACATTTGTAACAAGAATTGCCCATTAGTGCCCACTGTGGCATTGATTTAGTTTACTAGAAATAAATATTGTTATTGTGTTGATTAATTCTTTTTATTTAGAATTCTATGATCCACTTTAGAGATACCTTTACACATTATACTCATATACTTAGTAATAAAATTTGTTAATTGCACATGTTTATTTTATTGATTTTATTAAGTCTTTATTTATGTGTATATTTTTCTTAATTTTAATTGTAGACTGTGTATGGCAATTATTATTTTTATTAAAGTACGTGAAGGTATTATGTTCACCTTGAGCTTTGCCGCCGACAATGCTTCTTAGGGCGCTTCTAATGCTTCTTTTGAAGACGGATTCCCATAGATCTCGACGAGTAACGCCGAAAAGTAAGAATAAAATTTTTGATTCTCGCTTAGTTTCCGAGATATAGATACTCAAAAATTACTTTTTTGAGTATCGAATTGCAGTACGAAGTATTTAACTGGAGATTCTCTCTCTACGCGCCTGCGGCTTTACAAAAGCACTGTAGGGGTAGGGCAGACAAGATTACGAGGAGTCTGCTGTCTGCTGATTCGGTTTTAGTATTTCATTTTTAAGTATGGATATCTCGGAAACTAAGCGAGATATCGAAAAATTTTATTCTTACTTTTCAGCGTATCTCGTCGAGATCTATGTGAATCCGCTTTCAAATCGTGGCACCGCGCCATAGGAACCGTTGAAGCCCCTTGCCGTCTAATAAAAGCAAAACTAGGAAAACAGAGACAAAACACAAAGTCGTATAATATTGCTAATATATTAATAAGAAATAAAAATATAGCAAGCAGACTTTATTTGGCAATAATTAGAAACACTTCGAAAAATCAACTTAAAAAGAA